TACTTTCCGTACCCACTGTATATTTTGGACTAAAGGTTTTAAAGCTGATACCCCACAGGGGAGACGAGTCAGGGTGTGTCCAAATGAAATTCAGTATAATCAGTCCAGCTATAGGTCTCAGGTTTGTGCCAATATGTTTAATACCAAAATGGATCCAAGCAGACGCTCTATTCAGAGCAGTTCTGACTGTCAATGAAAACCTCTAGTCTGGAGAATAATATGTTGAATCAGGATTTAATGCACAAACACACAGGCTCACTTGTTTTGTAACTCCACACATGCATATGTACATGTTGGGAGTCAAATCAGCAGTCTGACTCAGACTTTGTGGTTTTAAAGGCCCCCAAACACACAGATACACAAAGACACACACACCCTATGATGTGTGCTGAATAACGACAGTCACTCTGTCTCTGGTTCTTGGACATTAACGCTGGATCATTAACGGCTAATTCAAGGCTGGCTTCATATTTTCCAGATTACACCGCACTGGTCATGAATCAAACACACTCGCCCAGACCCATCCAGACCAGACTGAGACCCACGAATACAACATGACCACATCTGCACACACCACTGCCACAATGCAGATAAAATCCAGCCAACGCAAGCTTGATAGCTTGCAGAGCTTTTTTCCCCTCTTCTGTGACTCTACTAAGTGAAAAATGATGTACCATCCTCAGATAAGACAAAATAGAAAGAAGGCCAGAAAGTTACTGTAATTGAGTAAGCTCAGGATTCCAGCAAGCTTGCTAAGTGTAAGAAACGTCATTAGCTTGGTTACTAATGGGTCAATAAGTTCACACAGTTTATTCAAAGGACATATTTGTACCCACAAAAATGACCAAAGTAATGAACAAATAAAAAATTTGACCTGATGATGGGGTTGGATGAAAAGTTAAGGGATCACCAAAACTATTACAATTCACCCTCTAAAGTCCATGGATGTCTGAGCTAAGTTTTATGGCATTCCATCCAGTAGTTATAGTTGTTGAGCTAGTTCGGTCTGGTCCAAAGTGGTGCACTGACATTGCCATCCTTAGAGCCATGCCAGTAGCGCAGCTAAAAAAAAAAAGAGTTAGCTTACATTGACAGTTTACCCTGTCCTCATCTGGATCCAATTAGTTAAGTTCTAGCTTTTTACCGTATTGTTGTGTCTGTCTTAGACAAAATATCAAATAGAGTCTCCTATGTGAGTTTGGACTCAGACTTTGTGTCAGGGGGGTCTTTCTTGTGGTCTGGAGTAGCGGTGTTTCCAGAGATTCTGGGCCTTTCGGTGGTTTGGAGGACAGCCTGAGTGGCTTCACCACACTCTGTTTGTCTTGGATCAGGATCACCAGAAAACCCATCCAACTGAGAGGATTATGAAACTGGTGCGATACACAAAGCCTGAATAAATGCTTCCCTAAGCTGAGGAGGACATGAGGAAACCTTTTGATAAATTACAGCCTTCTTAAAATGTTTTAAAGGAAACATTTGACAATTTATTTGTGACTATAACTTTGAGTCCTCTTTCTTCCACTGTCTTCTCCTCCAGCTCTCCACTCACAGATCCATTTCCATGATTACTACAGTCATAAAGTTCTCGTGCCGTTAATGTAATCAGAGAACATCAGCTCCAGGCCAGTGCCTCCTCAGATGAATGAAAAGTTGAAATGATCGGAGAAGCCTCAGCCCACGGGCGGTTTCCTGCTCCCTGCTCTGGTTACAATCCCGCAGAGAGAATGATGGGAGATTTTCCGTGGTGTTCTTGGAGGCAACCTCAGTGGCCATGTTTCCCAAGAGCTGGGTCACAATGTCTTTCCCCCGACTTTGGAAAAACTGAAATATGAATTACTTGCATATGAGTGGGCGCCAAGAGCAATTATATGGGGATGGTGTGGGGGGCTCTTACATAAAGAGCTGGAGGGAACAGTTTCAGAAGAATGACAGAGAAGAAAATAATAGGCAGAGCAACAAAGAAAACATTAAACAGTAAACATGAATGTGTAACTGAATATATAAAGATCAGGCTTTTAACCTTGTAGTTGTAGTTCCTAAATAAAAGTACTGATTTCATTTAAGCAAATTTCACTTAGAAATAACTGTTTCATTCTGAAACTATTAAAAAACACATGGTTCCTGTGTCACCTAGTTTAATTTTTTTATTACATTTGCCCTGATAATCTGCAAGAATGTCCATTTAATTTGTATCCATGCTGTTATTGTTATTTTCAGTTAAAGATAAGCTGTGGTTGTGTTTTTTAGCAGTAAATGTTTGTAGAATCACATATGGATTATAATTAGTGATGTATTATGTGTACATCACTTTAATGTTATAGGTGGTAAAGGTGGCACATGGTAAAAATTGCAAAACATGCAAAAAATATGAAAGGTCCTTTCTAGAGCCAGTGTTTGGTTTCTGTGTTCTGTGCTTCTGTAGAAATATAGCATTAAATGGGTTTCTCACAAAAGCAGACTCCAGTCCAGCAGTAGAGGCCACAAACTTCTGACTGTGGAAAAAAGTATCTCTTGGTTACTGGTTATAGTTTTAATGGGTAAGAGGGTAAGTAAAAGGAGGGAGGACTCATCCTGATTGCTCCACACCATCTCTGCTGCTTCAGGATTTAAACCAGCATCCTTTTAATCACAGTCCTTCTCCACATAAGACAAGGGAGCTTTGTTTTATGCTGTGTTGTGGAATTTGGAGCATTCACTTCAGTGATCATCACTCATGTGTCCTCTCACAGGCTTGCCCGATTATCTTTGTTCACTGAAGCTCATAATGTGTTTGTTTTCACTCCAAACATGTCAATTCTGTCCTCTGCCTTTATAGGACCACTAATTGCTCCATGTGGAATCAGGGACCATGGCGCTGATGGAGCTACGTCTCCTGGTACTGGCCTTATGGGTTGGCATTGGAGTAAAGCTCCAAGTTCGGGGCGACCAGATGAATCCAGCCCAGGCACCTCTGATCCCTCACCGGCCTTTTGTTGTTGTGTGGAATGCTCCCACTGAGTCCTGTCGCCTTCGATTCAAGGTGGACCTTGACCTCAGCGTTTTCGACATTGTAGCAAACCTCAATGAAACCTTAAGTGGACCAAATGTTACTATATTTTACCACAGCCACTTGGGATACTACCCATACTACTCCAACTCTGGGACCCCTATCAACGGTGGACTGCCACAAAACCAGAGCATTTCCAAACACTTGAGCAAGGCCCGGGCCGACATTGACAAGCTAATCCCCCACAAGGATTTTCGAGGTCTGGGTGTCATCGACTGGGAGAACTGGAGGCCTCAGTGGGTCCGAAACTGGGGCTCCAAGGACATCTACCGCAACAAGTCCAAGGAACAGATCCGGAAACTTCACCCGAACTGGCCGGAGAGCAAGGTTGAGAAGGAAGCAAAGGAAAGTTTTGAGAGGGCTGGGCAGACCTTCATGAACCTGACCTTGGCCCTGGCTGAAGGACGCAGGCCTGACGGGCTGTGGGGATTTTACCTGTTCCCAGACTGCTACAACTATGGATATAAGCAGCACCCGCAACGGTACACCGGTGAATGTCCCAATGTTGAGCATGTACGCAATGACCATCTGATGTGGCTTTGGAAGGAGAGCACCGCCCTCTACCCATCCATCTATCTGGACTATGAGCTCAAGTCCTCCCCCAACACTGTCAAGTTCGTCCACTATCGAGTCAAGGAAGCCATGAGAATTGCATCCATCGCCCGTACGGACTTCACATTGCCCGTGTTTGTCTACTCCAGACCTTTCTACGCCTATACCTTTGTGGTTCTTTCAGAGGCAAGTTTGGGTGAATATTGTAATTAAACTTTGAACCATTGTCTTCATGGTAATGCATGCAGTAGTTAAGTATGTATGTTGAATGACACTTCCCAGTATGTTTGTAGTGACAAGAGCATTTGTAGGTTATGAAAAAGTGGAAGAGAAGGAATAAAGCCTTTGGATTTCTGCATGTGTCATATAAAAGACAACGGAAAGGTTGTGTGTCAAGTGTTTACTAAGCTAAAAATACCTCTGGAATTCTGTTTCAGAGTGATCTGGTTCACACCATCGGGGAGAGCGCTGCATTAGGAGTGTCAGGCGTCGTCCTCTGGGGATCATCAGAGTACGCTCGATCACAGGTAATGGTAGAAAGTACAACCAAAACCTATTGTTCAAACTGGTGACTTAGAACTGAATAAAGTGGTGCAAGCTTTGTGTTTATTTTCCAACATGCACTACAAAGGTTTTAAAATAAGTTTCAATACTAAATTCAATAAAGAGACACCCCCCCGGCTCTCCTCCCAAAATTCACTTAAATCAGATCAAAAGAACAGCCTTAAATGGAATGCTTACTGTGTTAGCATTACCCCTACATTATAGCATACATTACATAAAACAAGCCACAAAGCAGTAGGGATCAATAAAAGCCATAAACTGCATGCAGTCACGGTGCATAAAAAGAGGTATCATAATTTCTGAATGTGAAAAATATGAACAGACATCATTACCCATAATAAAACCACTCCAGTCTCTGTACAAACAGGTCATCAAAACACTGGACAAGAAACCAAACCGC